ATTTTTTATGTTAAAAATTTATTTTTAAGAAAATTTCTTCGGAAGTCTCTTGTAAATGCAGACAGATTAAAAAACTTTTCACGGTATAATATATTAATTACAAATTATATAATAATGCAGTTATTAAGTTAATCATTGATTTAAAAAAAAATAAAAAGGTAAAAATATTATTTGCAAACATTAAAATTGTATTTAACTATTTTTTATCTTAATGTTTTTATTTATTTTTTGAAACATAGAATTAGAAAACAAAAATAATTATTTATATAAATATAATTACATTTGTGATTACACTTATATTATAATTACATATTTATTTGTTTCTCTTAAATAATATTGTTATATATCAATTTTTTAATTTCAGATAATGCTGTCGTAAATTTTGCAAATGAATTTTGGCCACCATTATATCGAGTAATGTTACCAATAACGTCTGAAGCATGGGATCCATGGTTGACTGGCATTGCTAATAAGTTATTTTCAAAATTTTCTTTCTCAAAAGTATTTCCATAAAATTCATATATATTTTACTATACATTAAGAAATGTAAATAGATAACAAGAAATTAGAGTATTATATAATCAAGAATCACTATTAAATTTTTTTAAATTTTTTAAGCCTAAGTTTTATAAAGTGAAAAGAAGGAAGAAATAGAGCAAAAAATATGTTTTATCAAATATGTTATTAATCAATGTGCAACATTAATTTTCTAGATTTCTTTCATAATATTTTTATAGGTTTCGGTTACAGCTTTGCCATTTTTTTTCTTTAACTTTGAAATAAATTCTTTTTGCAAATAAAAATTATATTGAACTTCAATATTTATTCAACCATATTGAATTTCAATTTTTGCAAAGAATGTTATATCCACAATGGCGTATAGTCGTATTCATATGCATTTTGTCATTGTAATTAATTGGTTAAAAATAGAGAGAATGCAATGAAACTTTGTTTATTCAATTTCGCTCAAATTTCATTGATTAATAAAACATATATAAACGTGGAAAATCGTTTAATTTGTAATCTCAGTAGAAAGTAAAGAGCTATATCTTTTTTGGATATAGCTTTTCATTCCGTACAT